TATCCGCCACCTCATTAGGGAAAAGAGTTGAGACGAATTCTCTCGTGAAAAACGCGTCACAAAACATCTATAGAGAAAAAAAGACTTGCGCGCACAAACGTGTCTTCTCGCAGGATAGTTGTACTTGGTTTCGTTTAATTTCACAACTACTTCTTCTTTTGCCCGAAGAAGAGACGAAGCAAAACTAAAAGATAGAAACTAAGAGAGAGAAAGAGAGAGAAGAGATTTCATCGAAGGATGGAAAGAGGTGAAACGAAGTTCTCGTTGGAATCGGGAGACCGTAAAGTAAAACGGAGGCTGGTACAACCTGCCCCACCGACACCCCACTCCCCCCCTCTTCTTACCCCCTTGGTCTCGTCTCGTATCGTAAAAATCGAATATTTCCACAGGCGCAGGCGAACGTTATACAGGGTGAATCATAAAACATGCTTTTACGACATTTTCTACACTAGTCTCTCAAGTTTTTGAGCAAACGGGACAAAAGGGTAATAAAGCTTTCTATATACTATACTACATTGTGAAAAACAGTATCTGAAGCAGAAGATAGGGAGAATTCTTAAAATAGCTGACAAATAAGAATTTCTCTCTCTACAAATTCCCGAAATTAATTTTAAGCTAAACGGAGAAGAATGTTAGCTGCTACTACTAATAGTTAGTTACTATAGGGCTATTATTTAGTTACTACTGTTAATAGTTAGTTACTACTGCTAATATTTAGTTACTAATGTAAATAGTTAGTTACTACTGTTAATAGTTAGTTACTACGACTAATATTTAGTTACTACTGCTAATAGTTACTACAGTTAATATGTATAGTTAGTTAATATTGTTAATAGTTACTACTGCTAATTGTTAGCTACTACAACTTACATGCACTAGAGATTAGTTTCTTCAGCTAATACTTTAAGCAATCTTGGAAATATTGCTGCAATTTTAGGTTTGCTTTGGGGTTTGCAGATATATGGTAAAAATTACGATTTAGTTTTCTAAAAATACCCCTAAATATGCAGCAGGATCTAAAAAAAAGAAACAAAGATTAGAAATATACGTAACTTAAATTTTTAAAATTTTTTTTCAAATAAAATTATAAAAAATACTTTTTTTCTGTTTTTTTTTTGAGAAACACCCGGTGTATGGAGGCGTAGAGCCACCTTTATATCTGCAGACGTGACTCCACACCGCCACAGCCACCACCATCGCCAGCTTCGGTGGAAATATATGGGGCCGTAATGCTCGTTGGCCAGAGAGAAAGAAGGATAGAGGGATATGATAGAAGGCGAGAGACAGAGAACGAGAGAATGACAGAAAGGAGGAAGAAAGAGAGAAGAGAATTTGGAGTAAAGAGTGAGGGAGAACGATATTATACACACACACATATATATAGAGAGAGAGAAAGAGAGAGACAGGAAGAGGAGGGAAAGAAGACAGTGTGTATGGTCGCACCCTCCTCTTGTACGTTGACCCACGGGACCCACCATTTCTGACAACCCTCGCGACCCTATTATTTGCATACGCTGACCTCCTTATACCGATTTCCACGACATATACATATATATATGGAAACCACCTTCCGCTTTTTATAAGAAGCGCTTTCCTTTTCAGAATGAAACTCACGTGTGTTGACAACTTCCCGGAAATCACAATATATACATATATATGTACACTTCTTCGAAATTTTTCAAAACCCCTGTATAGGTTTAATTCCTTTCACGAATTTATCTATTTTTTCGCATACTATTTCTATATATTAAAAATGAATTTAAATAAATTTTCATATAATCCGGTTTTAAGACTACGAGTATTTAAATCCTATTCTTCATCTATGAAAGTAAAATAAATCTGTTTCTTTTTAATATTTCTTGTTTTTCTTGTAAAAAAAAATTGAAGTTTTCGAAAAATTCGTTTTTTTGCTGATTAAGAGCATTATGAGTGTATATGGTTTCAATTTAGATTATATATATTGAGTTTTTGTTGCAAGAGAACAAAAAAACACCTTTGAAATAAAAATCCATCAATAAAAGATGTTTTTTTCTCCCGAACTCAATACATATATATATATATAGGAATTTTAGACATTCGCACAGGTATATATAAAAGTTTGTTTCGCGATAATATAATGATGACCGTTCTTCGCGAACAACTTTTTATTCCCTTTTATAAATGATAAAACTGCCGTTTGCATATTTTAGTATATAGTAAAATATCCGAAACAAGTAAATAATATCCTATTTATAGCTTTCTTGTTACTTTTTTCTTGACTTTCCAATTTTTAAAGATCGCGCACTACAAGTATTTTATAATAGAAAATAAGATGTACATGTTAACTATACTAAACCACTTTTATGAAAAGAGTTATTTGTATAATTATATACACCTATATATGCTTTAGAGAAATATTTTGGTTGCTACATGGAGAAAAAGGAATAGTTAGTCTAACTGAATATCTAGTTAGACTTACTATTCGGCGTAGTGAAATATGGGCACACTAAGCAGCGTAGTTACACCTACTAAACGCTCTATAGACATAGTGGTGCAATCAAACACACTAATCTCATTAGTTAGACTAACTACTTTACTAAGTAATACATACTATGCTCTTTAGTTAGTTTAACTAATTGTTAGAATAAAACTCTGCTTGATCATACTAAATATGTAGTTTTATAGTATTAAATAAAAGAAGTTAATTATAATTATATAATTTATTGTATCCAATGTTAACATTTTTGCAATTGAATAACTGAAGCCTCGGAGCACTCACCTCTTTTTTCGAACAAGTAGCACAGTCTGGGTCGCTGTGACCCTGTTTACTTTACAAAACTCCCCTATTTTTGAACTATTGGACTGATCAACACAAAAAAATATTTTTTTATTCATTGAACCTTGTAAAATAAGAATATGCAGTTTAGAAATATTATTAAATTATTTGCATATTGAAAAAAAATTCGTGAAGTTAACTAATTAAAAAGAAAAAATTGAATTTAAAAAAAAAATGTAACTTTTGTAATTTTTAATATTTTAAGCTAAAAATTGGGATTTATATTCTCGAAGTGTGTTAGAATAAGGGAAAAAATATCACCTTATTTTATTTTTTAAAAAAGGTATTTATTTTGTAGTTTAACGAAGATAACTTTTAAGACGATAAAAATGTGATTTTCGACACAACTTTTTAAAACTATACTTTTTTAATAACATATTTACTAGTATTTTATTATTTTCTTTGGATTATCATGTTACTTATTATTCCTTATTAGTTAGTTACCACTATATGGGCTTAGGTTCGTGTTGTATTGCCGACTTTTCAAATTACACTTCATTGAAATTAATCACAGGGTCTGTGTGACCCAGTATGTGCTCCGAGAGTTAATAAATTTTTCCTTACATATTTTTATTTACATTTATAATATAGTTTTACTGCATAAAACAAATCCTTTCTCTTATTAATGATCTTATTATGCTATTTTAAATTGTTTCTATTAGTATACTAATAGAAATAATTAAAAATAGCAGAAACATTACCATTTAATTAATAAGAGAAAGGATTTTTTTAAAAAAAATTCAAAAATTGATCACTTCGGTTTTGAGAAAAGTTCATTATTAGACTTTAATTTCAATTTTTTAGATGCTTTCGTTGTAGTTATATGTTATATTTTACAATATATTTAAAATATTGAAGAAAAAATTTAAAAAAAAATTTTTTTTGATTGGAAATTTCATGTAGAATGCCCCTAATATTTTTTTAAATTTTAATTTAAAAAAATAATCTTATGAAAATAACAAAAATAATAACAATAATTAATAATAGTAATTAATAATAATAATAGTAATAATTAATAATAATAATAATAATAATAATAATAATAATATAAAAATAACATTAATAATAATATAAAATAACTTTTAAAGAAACCAGAATTATTAAATATTTAAAAATAACCATTTTTTAATAGAGAAGTTAGACATAATTAAATCAAATCAAAAAATAAACAAATACGCATTTTCTTATTTTTCATAAAGATTTCGAAAAAATGTTCAAGTAAAAAAATTGTTTGACTGGAAATTTGATGTGGAATGACCCAAGTATTTAAATTTTAATTTAAAAAATTAAAAATATGAATATAAAAAAAAAATAATAATAATAATAAAACTTTTGAAGAAACTAGAATTATTAAATTTTTTGAAAAATAACTGTTTTTTGATACAGAATTTTCAGTATAATATTAATGTCGAATATTATTTTTTATGTTTTTTAACATTAAATTTTAAATCTCTTATACAAATAATCAAAAATGAAAGGAAAAAAAATAATACCTACAGCTCTCTCTGTTGAATTTAGGACAAACCTTGAAAAAATCGTGCAGTTGGTATATAGAAATTCGATTAAAATTTAATTTTTTGTATATAGTTAAATAAAAAATAATTATGTGTCAAAAAATTTTTTGAATAAAAATTATCTAACCTATAAAAACTTGAAAAATTTCAATTTACATGATCGACAAATTTTATTTTCGAAAGCTCTAAAACTTTAAAACTACGTTCTTATATATTATAATACATATATCACAATCTATTTTTAATAACACAATTCTTATTAGCGACTGAAAACTACTTTTATAAATAGTTAAAAGAGTTAAAGAAAAGAATTAACAAAAAACCGTTACAAAGCTCAGCAAAGCTTGACAACATGACAACTGTAAAAAGTATATACCATTTACCAACTGTTCGTTTTGATGATAAAACAGTTTCATGAGAACAAACTTTCAAAAATTGCCACACTCTTAAGCGCGGCAAAATTTAAAATTACCATTCACTTTTTGTATAATTTTGTAATGTAATTTAAAAAATATACAATAAAGCAATTATATTCAAGGAATATTCTTTCCTTTAGATTGTAAACTATCAAAAATTATCAATTTTTTATCATGTTAATTTAACATCATTAAAAATAGGAAAGAATAAATAAAAAAAACCGAGGGAAGAATAAACATAACCTATAAATTTTAGTTCGTGAATGAATGTAAAAAAAAACAACTAATGTCAAATTTATTTATTTTGTAAAGTAACGTTAATTAATCTCATATCAATTATATATGTATAAATGTTTCCCTATAAAAAGTGTATAAACTTTAAAGATTAGAATTTAAAAAAATGAATTAAATTAGACGAACGAGAAATAATAATGGTAATGTATATAAATATTCAAAATGTACATGGCATCTATTTTCGAGTCTTAGTTCAATAGTAAATTATTTATATCACAAGTGAGCCGTTTTTCCAGTCGTTCAGACGCCGGGAGTTTCGTTATTTTTTGTTTAACAAAAAAAAAAAAAAAAAAAAGAAACAAAATTATGTTTGATATTTGAAAAAAAAAATTTCTACTGTATAGCATCAAAATTCTAAAGGATAAAAAAAAACAACAACAAATGGACGAAATTTGGTTTCGACTCTCGAGTCAACTCGAAGTTTTACAGGTAAAATTTTTACCATTAATTTAATTTCTAATTTTATTTGTTTGTATATATTAACTATTAAAAATATATAAAATTTAGTATACGGCAAAAAATAAATTGTATGAAAAATTTTATCGGAGAGAAAAAAAAATGATTTTTCTTTTCAATATCACGTGACTTTTCACCGTTTTGGCTTTTCATCAATTTTCCAATTTAATTTGTGTTCGTACGCCAAATTGTCATCCTATTTTTATCAATCTTTTGGGACCAAGTTCTCATTTCGAAAAATAGACACATTTTTTTTGGGGCTGATTTAATTTGAATTTTGTTAATAATAATCATTAACTATATCTGTATTGAAAATTATTTTTTGAAAATTTTAAATTTTTCAACTAAAATATTTTATACCTATTTCTAAACTTTCTAGGGAATTTTAAATTAAAATTAATTTTTAATAATTATAATCACAAGAAAGCCACAAGTCAGAGAAAATTTAATTTGTCAGGGAAGAAATATTTTTTTCGGAAAATTTGGGAAATTAAAGAAATTTACACAATTTTTACCTATTTAAAATACCTAAAAAAAATTTTGTCATCTATAATTTTTTAACCTTTTTCATCTTTCACATGATTCGATTAATTTACGAATGTAATGTTAACAAAAAAAAAATTATTAAATTTAAAATGCAAAAACATTGATTTAAGCTCAGGAAAGTTGAAAAATAATTTATTAGATTAAAAAGAGAAAAAAAATTAATTAATTAAACTAATTTATAGGACACAAAATTATAAATTTTCATCTTTTCTTTTAAATGTCTCAATTGACCCAAGTTTCAATTAATAAAAAATTTTCATCAATTTAAAAATTATTCAGAACAAATTTTAATGAATCTAAATTTAAATTAGTTAAAGCAATTAAATTGTAATTAATTAATTAATAATTAACTAGTGGGAAAGAAAAAATTGTAAAACTTTCTAAAAAGTGCACAATGGAGAAATAAAAAAAAATAAATTAATTAATAATTAAGAAATTAAATTATAATCGATCTGAATTTAAATTAATTTATAATTCTAATCAATTATTAATTCAATTCAATTTATGTAAATTTTGTATGTGTTCAAATTTAATTCATCAAAATATTTCACAATTTAATTAAAATTATATTCGATTCAAATTAAAAAAAAAAACAATTTTCAATTAAATCTAAATTTTAACTTGAATTTTTCAAGTGATCCAATTTTTATTAATTAATTTTTATTTTTATTGATTAAAAAAATTTTTTTAATTGAAATTTTAATCAAATGAAAATTCAATAGATTAAAACTTAAAATTAATAAAATTTCAATATTTCTAAAGATTAATCGATTTCAGATTTCAATTATCTGAATTCTAATTTATTTAAATTTTAATTGATTTAAATTTCAAAAAAAAAACCGAATTTCAATTTTAAATTTTAAATTTAAATTTGAATTTATCCGAAGTTTAATTGATTTATATTTTAAATTCTCCGAATTTAAATTAATTTAAAATTTAAATTATCCAAATTTAAATTGATTTAAGTTTCAAATTATCTGAATTACAATTTATTCAAAAATTTAATTGACATAAGTTTCAATTTATTCAAAATTTAATTTACCCAAATTTTAAACTATTATTTTTTCAAAAATTGATTAAAAAATTATAATATTTAAATAGTTAGAAAAAAAAAATTTTTTTTTAACAATTTAGATTTTTAGTGAAGAAAAAATTTTTTTAAAAAAACTCGCTTTTTTTATAATTACTTTATAATTATTTTATAATTAATAATTAATTATTATAAAATATACGAATTTTTTAAGGTTGAAACATCAGTTATTCTTCAACATGGACAACAATGGCTATCGGCATTCATAGTTCAATGTCGTCGAATTCTCCAGGAATTAAATGACGAGGAATATTTTCGTCAACTAAAGGAAATTGGTTTACGAATTATTTATTTGTTACAAAGGAATTGGGACGAATTGCAATATAAAATCACTGCTTTTCAATTTAATACAAGAGCATTCTATCATCAAATTGGAAATCTCTTTTCTAATGGAGGTTTGAAAAATTTTTGTAATTTTTTGAATTTTTTATATTATGAAAAATTTGTAATTTAATCATTTTTTTTTCTCTCTCTCTCTCTCTTTTTGCTCCTTAGTTTCAGGAAGAGAAGTGGGATTTTTTCTGATAGGAATAGCGACAGGTAGTTTAATTGGATTTTGCATTGGGCAAAATTGGCGAAATTCTCCTCGTCATTTACATAATATGAAAGCAATTATTTGCCATCATTATAAAGGAGTTGAGGTAAATTTTAATATTAAAAATTATAAATTTTCTATAATATTGTTACTTTAAAATCAGTAAAATTATAATATAACAAAACTATGAATTGAAAATATAGGATTTTTTCAAGAGTTTTTCATTTACTTTTTAATGACCAAAAAAGTTTTTTCAAAAGAAAACAATATATATATTTTAATCACAATTTTTTCAAAATTAAATTGGAGGTGTTTTAGAAAAAAATTATAAACGAAAATTTTGAAAAATTCGAAAAAATTTTTTTCTCCACAAGACGAGGCTCAAAATTTTTGTAAAAGGGAGTTATTAAAAATTTAAAAAAAAAAAATCGAAAGATGCAAACAATTTTAAAATTAAAAATTTTAATCTAAAAAATGCAAAAAAAAAAAATTATTTTTCGAACATATTTTTTAGTAGTGATAATATTAATTATCTAATTATTTAAATAAAGATAAATGTTTAATTTTAATTTTTAGGGAGTTTGCATGGTTGAGGATATAGAAATGCCAATGATTCAGAAAAAAAACGAACTCCTGGTGCAGGTGAAAGCCGCCTCTGTTCATGATGTGGATATAAACATTTGTCACGGATATTATAAAACTTATCGAAGAATTCTCAATTCGGGAGTAAGTTTTTAATCTCCCTCACCATTTAAAGTGCAGAAAAATTGATAAATTACATTTTTTTTATGATTTTAGAAATAGAGAAATTATTATTTTCCATAAAAATTATTAATTAGAATTTTCATTTTAATGAAATTTATGACAAATAATTTTTTTTTTTTTTGAACGAATCTTCAAATTTCGAATTAATGAAAAATGTTCCAGTCAAAAATTTTTTTTTTTTGTTTTAAATGAAAATCTCACGTGAAATGCATATATATAGTTATTTTTTTATGCGTTTCACAGAGACATAAAGATTTGCCAGTGACTTTAGGCAGAGATTGCGCGGGAATTGTTGTCGATATTGGACAAAATGTCGTCAATTTTGATATTGGCGATGAGGTGTTTCTCGCTGTTCCAGCATGGGCTCCAGGAACAATGGCCGAGTACATTGTCGTTCCCGAGACTCAAGTGGCGAAAAGACCAAAACTAGTAACATTCGAGGCGTGTGCAAGTTTACCCTACAGTGGTTGCATCGCTTGGGATGCTCTCGTCAATGGATCCGTCATTAAAGAAGGAAACGCTAAAGGCAAAAGGTAAAAAAAACACAACAATTTTTAAAATTAATAAATTCAAAAAAAAAAAATTTTTTTTCTTAAATTTGATTATCTTTTTTGTAAATTAATGTAGTTTTGGCACGTTTTTTTGGAACGCTTGAATAAGCTCTAAAACAAATTTGTTAGAAATTATATTTCATAGAATTTTAATCAGCAGAATATTAATTTGCCAGAAAATCAATTTAATTGAATTTTAATTTGTCAGAAAATCAATTTGATCGAATTTTAATTTGACATAAATTCAATTTGATCGAATTTTAATTTGGCAGAAAGTCAATTTCATCGAATTTTAATTTGGCAGAAAAACAATTTCATCGAAATTTAATTTATGCGAAACTTTTTTTTCATAGAATTTTAATTTAGCAGAAAGGTAATTTAATAGAATCCCAATATAGTAGAATCAAAATTTGACAGAAATTTATCTTACCAGAAAGTATATTTATTCGAACATTAATTTGCCAGAAACTCAATTTCACCGAAAATCAATTTGACCGAAATATTTAGGCGCGAATTTTAAAATTAACCAATAGGAAATTATCAAGAAAATTGTGAAATGGTCAATTTTAAAATTCGCGCTACTATATTAGGATTCTATTAAATTACATTTCTGCTAAATTAAAATTTTATGAAAAAACCGTTTTACACAAATTAAATTTCGATCAAATTAATTTTTGGTTAAATTAACTTTCTTGGGAAATTATAATTCGAACAAATATACATTTTGTTAAAGTAGATATCTATCAAATTGTTTTTCTGCACTATTAATATTCTATTAAATAATGTTTCGGTAAAATTTAAATTCGGTCAAATTTAATTTCTGGCAAATTAAAATTCGATCAAATTGATTTTCTGCCAAATTAAAATTCAATTAAATTGACTTTCTGGCAAATTAATATTCTGCTGATGAAAATTCTATGAAATATAATTTCTAACAAATTTGTTTTGAAAAAAAAAAAAAATAAAAAAATTTTAATAAATAATAAATTAAAGAAAATTTCCAGAGTTTTAATTTTCGGAGGCAGCACTCCAGTTGGATGTATTTTGACGCAATTGATCAAATTGTGGGGAGGTTATGTGGTTTCGGCATGTAGACCGCACGCGGTTCCTGTGACAAGAGCCTTGGGAGCTGACGAAGTTATTCCTCTTGGCGAATCAGACATTGAGAAAGAATTGGAATTACGTGACAAGTATGAATAATATTTCTATATAGAGAAAGAGAAGATATGTATTTTAAAATTCTATTTTTTAATTTTTTTTTATATTTAATAATATATTTAATTATAGGGTCAGTTGGGGTAAATAGAAATAAGGGATAAATCGAAACAGTAGTTATTTCAGTTAAATAAAAAAAATTTTAAATAAATACGGCCTTAAACCTTGAACCTTAGATCACCCCCAACAAGGTTTGAGGCCGTATTTATTTTTTAAATTTTTTATTTAACTGAAATAACTACTGTTTCGATTTACCCCTTGTTTCTATTTACCCCAATTGACCCTAATATTATATAATAATTATATATAAATATGTGACGTGCTCTAAAGAAAAGGACCTTATTGATATTTAAGTCTTCATTACATCCAAAATATTCAATAAACACTGATTTTAATTTTCCTCATAAATAAAACGGAACTTTTAACCAAAGAAAAACTGTAGTGAACATAACCTATAATTCGTTTGCTTCTAAGGTCCCTTTCTTCAGAGCGCGTCACAATATTTATTTAATATTATGTAATTATTATATAATTATATATTTAATATATAATAATAATAATAATAATAATAATAATAATAATAATAACTCCCTATAATTTAATAGAAAATAATTTTTTGCAGATATGATGCAATTTTTTACACTGGTGGTCAAGCGACGGACGCAAGTGTATTGAAGAGATATTTATCGAATCACGGAAGTTACATATCAACGGTACCAAAATTATTAACGTCCGATTCATTGGGACTCGTTTTTGGAAGTCTTTTCGCCGGATGTGTTCGATTACAACTAGTAATTCAGGTAATATTCAATAATAATAATAATTATTATTATTATTACTAGTATTTATTTATTTTTATTTATTTATTTGTCATACACGCGGACTTATAAAATTAAAAACTCCTTTTCGTATTAAAGTACTAGAAATTTATCGAATATTAATTTGGTTGAAAATTACAAAAAAATTTTTCAAAAACAAAGATTAGGATATTTTTTTAATTTAAAATAATTATTTTTACACAAATAATAAATTATAATAATAATAATTATTTCAATACATTTCTTTAATTAGAAAAAACGAAGAATTATATTAAATTAAAACATTATTCTTCCTACAAAAAGAAAGAAATATATCATTCTTTTACTCAGAATAAAGAAATTATAATTTTTTTTTTTTTTTTTTAACAGTACTTCTTTGGAATGAGCAATTATAAATGGAAAGACGGTGCTAAAATAAATGTCAATTATCTACGATGTCTACAAGAACTTGTCGACGCCGATAAACTTCAAACAGTCGTTGATCGTGTATTTTCGCCAGTTCGTATCGATCAAGCACTCGATCATATTATGGATCCAAATGCAATTGGTAGTACTGTTATAAAATTTCATTGAACGTGAAAAATAATCAACGAAGAAAAAAAAAACAATAATTATTACAACATCTTTTTTTGTCAAAAAATTAATATTTAAAAAATTATTACCAGGATTGAGGGAAGAATAATTTTTTCTTTCTTTTATATACTTGAAAACATAAATCATCGCAAGACTGAAATAATAAAATTCGACTCGTCCGAAGGTTGTTTTTTTTTATTATTATTTTTTTTTTATCTATCAATGAGACAATAAACGAGAAAAAGAAACATCGAGTATAACGAAAAAAAGTGTACTTATAGTAAAAAAGAAAAATATTATATTTATATATATAATATATATTTAGAGAAATATCAGGGCTATTTCCATGAACTGGAAATAAGTGCCCGAAGTTTTTTTTTTGTAAAATAAGCCTTTTATTTTTTAAAGGCGTTGTTTGTATATTTCAAATTGTATTTTATACCAAAAAAGAGAAGAAAGTTATTTTGCAATATATTCTTTTTTTTAAAGAAATTATTTTTTACAGATTTTAAAATCAATTCGCACTTCGGATGCAAATGAAAATTTCAATTAAAAAAAAAAAAATTATAATAAACTTTTCCTGGAGTTTAGTAAATGAAAAGTATTTGTTAAGTTTGTATATCTATTAAACTGTATATTTTATGAAATAAAAAAAAATATATAAAATTCGCAAAAAGATTTTATATTTTTCTCTGGCATATTTTCATTATTTCAATTATTTAACAAATTTTTAACTAAAATTCTTCTCTAAATTAATTATTTTCAATAATTTTAATGAAATTCTTCACAAATTCAATTATATTAAACTGTTTTTTAATTCAAAATTGTATGAAACTCAACTATTTCTATACATTAGTTATTTAAAGTAAAATATTTATTAACTAATTGAATTTAATGAAAATAAAAAAAAATCAACTTTTTTTTTTAAATGTAAATCGAGGCTTTTTTTTGCGCCTTAAAATCGATCCGAGGTGTATTTATTAAAAAATAATTCTCAACAATTTTTTCGTTAATGAAATAAAAAATTATTAAATTTATTCGTTCGCACACGTATACATTTTTTGCACAGTCATACATTTGAAAAAAAAAAAAAACAATACTTATCGAAGGGGGAAAAAAATTCTTTGAAAAATAATTATTATGAAAATGTACATTGAGTAAAAAAAAAAATTATTACAAAAATAAGTTAAAAAAAAAGAAAGAAGAAGAATAATTTTTGATGACAAAATTTCATAAAAATTATTTCGCTCTTCCGCGTTTTGCGCCTGATTTTCCTTTCTTCGCTGGTGTTTTTTTCTCATCAACTTTGCGTTTTATTGGATTTGGATTTGGATTTGGCAAAACTTTGAAAAATGAATCAAGTCTTCCTTGTGTCGATGTGCTTCTTGCTTTTAGCAATTTTTTCGTCCCATTTCTAACACGTTCCTCATTAAATTGTTTATCACCACATAAATACTGTACCAAACCCTCCTCATCAGGATCCGTCCATTTTAACTGCAAAAAAATATATATTTTCAATTTTACAGAATTTTTGAAAAAAAGCGCAGAATTTTTTTTATTTGAATTTAAATTGTTTTTTTTCACTTTTCTTTTGATTTCAATTCCTTTTTTTCGAATTTAAATTATTTTTGTTGCATTTAATTTATTTTTTTTGCTTTTTCTTTTTGATTTGAATTTTTTTCAATTGAATTTAAATGTTTTTTTATTGCTTTTTGTGTTTGATTTGAATTTTTTTTTTTAATCAAATTTAAATTTTTTTTTAAAATAATAAAATGATTTTAATTAAAGAAAAAAAACCTCGATTTCATCTGGATTGGTTATTTCGGGTTCCTGGAAGAGAAGCCTCGCTTGTTTATAATTCCAATCCTCGGGAACGGGGAACTTTTTTGTGTCCAAATTTTCGATAATTTTTTCCAATGATCTGTGAGTTTTAATTAATTCAATAGCTCTCTTTGGACCAACGCCTTTAATGCTATTAGTGTAATCGCATCCCAACATAATACAAAGATCGATAAACTAGAAGAGTAGCAAAAAAAAAAAATTATTTTCACAATTTATCGATAAAAATCATTTATAAAATAAATTTTTTTTATTTCTAAAAGAATTTTTTAATATAAATTTTTTTTGTGTCTAAAAGAATTTTTTTAATATAAATTTTTTATTTCCTTTAAAAAATTTCTTTAATATAAAAAATGTTTGTTTGTTTTTTTTTTGTTTAAAAGAGTTTTTAAATATTCAAAAATATAGAGAAAACAAACCTCGTCTTTATTCAGTTCCAATCCCTCGAGAACTTTGTCGAAATGAAACTCCTGAACGGGTAATTTTCGCGCTTCACTGAATGTCAAACGACGTAAAAGAACATTGGCACCGAAAGTTAATGCATCCATATCTTCGGTGGCAGTAGCAAAAACTTTTCCTGCTTTTACAAGAGCTGCGCATTGTGCCTCAGCTTCGCAGGGAGCCTAAAATAAAGGGAATAATAATTTTATTTTTTAAATATTTAATAAAAAAAAAGAAGAAAATCTAAAAATTCTGTAAGAAACTTTATTATCCCTTAACTGGCACCAATCGGTCCAGTAGACCCGAGCATTTTTTTCTCGCTCAAATTAATTAAATGTATTTGAATATTTTTTATATTTTAATATATTAGTTTTACATATTAGTAATTTTTTATGTTTTTTGATACAACTAATTCGATACAAAAAAAAAATAAATTAGCTTCAAACATTAATAATTGTAAATTTTTTGATTTTAACTTAAAAAAGTCATATTTTATTCTGCAAAATAAATACCTTTTTTGTAAGTCTTGCGGTTTTTTACTTAATACGTCGGGTCCAGCAGACCCATTGTGCCATTTACGTTCGAATTGTGCCAATTAAGGGTTATTATTACTATTTTTTTTTAAAAAAAAACATACTTACATCGATATAGGGAACTCCCATTAATTTCAAAAGTTGTTTTGCCTCTTCGTTGTGAGTTTTCGTTACTTTGACTAAACGTCTATTAAATTTGTCCATATCCTCAACGTTTCCTATTTTAAGAAAAAAAATTTTTTTTTAAAAATACTACCGGGGGAAATTGTGCGATAATCATTTTTTTCGATGATTGTAAAACAATTTTGAAATTAAAAAATAAATGAAACTAAAATTGTTTCCTATTAATTTTGTAAAATTAGCTTTAGAATAAATAAATTGTATTGAAAAAAAATTGTGATAAATTAAAATTCTATCATATAAAAATTATGTTAAACAAACATTGTATATTTTTGTATTTTTTTTCGAAGAATTTTAATTGTTATTCAAATTCTTCAAAAAAAAAAAAAAAAAAAATCAAATACATATTTTCAAAAGTGTTGATGAAATTCTTTTTAAAAATTCAATAATTTTCAAAACATTCAATCAAATTTTATGAAATTTTAATTTTTGCTATAAAATTCAAGAAATTTCAAGGATTTTCAAGGTAGAAAAAAATTCATTTAAATTTCAATCATAAACAAAAAAAAAACATTAAAAGAAAAAAAAAATTTTACCCGCTTCCTCTGCAGCTTGAAGAAGCTTTTGAGCTTCGTCTCTTTTTTCAGCACGTTTCGCAAGTTCACCACCTTTTAAATTCGGTGGTTTACCATCGAATACATAGACCGGTTTTATTCCTTGTTCAACAAGTCTAATTGTTCTGTAGAATGTTCCCATTAGATGACTGCGAAATAGAAAAATAAAAAAAAAAAAAATAAGAATAATATTCAAACTAAAATATACTATAGGTATTGTTTATTATTTTTTTTCTAAATTTATATAATCATTGGAAAAAGTATGAAAATTTAAAAAAATTAGAGAAAAATTAAAATATGATTATATAATTAATATAGTTTTTTAAAATTATTTTATTTTTGTATTTACATATACAGGCTTACACAAAAATAAAAATTTACCCTTTTCGTACCGAAGTACTCAAATTAAAGAAATTATAAAATATATTAATATAGAAAGATAATTGTTTCTTAAAAAAATTTTATTATTTAATTAAATTCAAATTGATTAAAGATTGATTGATTTACTTAGTCGATTAATTATTATAATTTGAAATTAATAATTTATTTTAATTTCAAATATAATGAATAAAGAAATGGGAATTAGAAAAGAAAAAAAAGTAAATTAACAAAATTATATAAATTAAAGTAAATAAAATAATTCTTATCCAATTTTTTTTTAAAAAATACCTTTCTTTGTCTTTTTCTATCCAATTCTCTATAATTATAATAATTTCGAATTAAATAAATAAAATAAAATTTAAAAAATTAAAATTATTACCTAGTTGTTTCGCCGTCTGTTGATGTTAATTGAGCTCCATCAGAACGTACAGCGATTAAAAATTGATAAAGACACATAGAAGCGTCAATAGCAATTTTACGACCTAAAAAAAGGAATTCCAGAATAAAATTCTCCTCAAAAAAACAGTAAAAATTAAATAATTTTTTATATTTAAAAAAAAATTCTTCGATATCGTTATGGATATGGAATTTTCATGACTTTTAATTTTTGAATGCTCATAACTTCCTTAAAAATGCATCAATTTTAAAAGTCTTTTTTTTCAAAATGTGTGTTTTTAAACGTACTTTTCAAAAAAAGACGAAATTTTTTTTTAAAACGATATTACTATCAAATTTTTGAGTTTTAATGATAAAAAAATGCATTCAAAAATTGTTTGAAAAATTCCGAAAATATTGTAAAAATTGTTTGCCCATTATCGGGCTAGGCTTAAACGTTTCGTAAAAAGTAGTTTTTTTGAAAAAATTTTGAAAAAATCAATCAACACGTCAAATGAGAAAAATGACTTTTTATCATTAAAACTCAAAAATTTAATAGTAATATCGTTTAAAAAAAATTTTCGATTTTTTTATTTGGAAAAGCACGTTTAAAAACACACATTTTGAAAAAAAAGACTTAAAAAATTGATGCATTTTTAAATAAGTTATGAGCATTCAAAAATTAAGTCATAAAAATTCTCCAATTTTCAAAATTTCATAACTCGAAAACGGCTTGCTAAAAAAATTTGAAAAAATTTATGAAAACTAGTCTCAATTAGTACTAAAAGAAAAAAAAATCGCAAAAAATTGGAGATGCGTGGTATATATCATATTTAAAAAGTTTTTTCTCTACTTTAAGAATATAAAATAAATATTTTTCATTTAAAAAAAAAAAAAAAAACGCCTTTAATCTTGCTACACAAGAAATATTTATTTGTATTAAATAAAAAAATTTCTTTGAAACGAAGATAATTTTTTTTTTTTGAATCAAAAATAATTTGTTTGAAACAAATAAATTTGTCTCCACTTGGAAAATAAAAAAATAAAATTTTTTTTTGATCTCAAAAAATATCATTTTTTATCTACTTTCAACATCACATATTAGCAAAAATGGAATTTAATATTTTCAAAGTCAAATTTTACGGTTTTTTTTCTTTTTGCTTTAAAAATAAAAATTTTGAAAATTTACAGATCACATTTTTGCAAATATGTGATAAAGTAGAAAAAAAAATGTTTTTTTAGACCAAATTTTTTTTTCTAATGTCCCAAGTGGAGAAAATTTGATTTATTTTCTTAAAGTTTAAGAAAAAAAGGCATTTGTAAAAAAATTAAAAATTGTTGATTTTATCTTAAAGTAGAGGTAAACCCCATTTTAAATCTATGTAATAAAAGTTATTTTGAATAAATTGTATAGAAATTAATTTAATACGAAAATTGTAAATATTGAAATTTTTTTTTCTTTTTTGAGATGGGTACGCTTGACGAATATTTACCCACATTGATAAAAACCGCCAAAAGTAACCTAAATTCCCTAAATTTGATGCATTTGAAACGCATTTAAACAAACTAAAAAAAAACCTAATTAAATTTTTTTCTATTTTTTTATCCCTTTCATTAATTAAAAAAAAAATCAAATTAGAAAATCATTAAATTTATTTTCAACAATTTATATTTAAAAATTGTAATTTTTCTCTTAATATATATAAATGAAAATTTTCTCAAAAGTGAGGTTATGTTAGAAATAAAACAACGATAAAAACAACTTACCAAAATAATGTTTCAATTCAGATTCTTTAATAGATTGCGGTGCGGCATCCGCAATTAATTTTGAGAGTCCCAAAATTCCCATATTTATCTAAATAAAAACAACAAATACTTTGAAAATAATTGTCAATTATTTTTTGAGAGAAAGCGCACATCCACAACAAAAAACCTGCCACCACTTTTATAAAGGCGCGAATCAAAACAATGATTGTTGCGCAGAATTAAACACGCTTATTTTGCGCATGGCGCGTAATTTTCAAATCTCATAAATAAAAAATAGTTTTTTAATATCTAAATAAAAAAAAAAAATTGGTAAATTATTTAAAACAAATGAAATAATCAATTAAAGTAGAATTTTTTTTACTTTTTGATAATATTGATTTGTTATAAGTAAAACGTGAATAATTAGAAAAAAATGAATGAAAATCGAAGAGAAAAGGAAGTAGTTGGCTTTTTTGCGCGTGCGCAATTTAGCCCGCCAATTTATATTTCGAAGGAATGCCACAAATGGCGCTGACGCGATTTCTATTAAAATTGCGCGAGAAAAAAAAATGTTATCGACATTGTCATAGTTTATTTTCCGCTCACGCGATGGCGTTCAAGGTTCAATGAATGCAAGCCGAGAAAAAGAAAGTTTGACAATATTCCTTTTAAAGAAAATTGATAAAATTTATGTGTAAGTATATATAAAAGAAAAGGTAAATTATTATTTTGTTCTTTATAATTTAAAACATCGGGTAACTTCTAACGAAATTTATTTGTTTCGCAAGCATAAAAAATTTCTGTTTATTGTACTTTAATGTAAATGAAAAAGATTAAAAACGTTATTGCATAAAATAAATTAACCTATAGTGTTTTGGTATTTTGCGATTTCATAAAATTCGGATCAAACTTAAAAAGGGGGGAAGAGTTTTTTAATCGTGCAGAAACAAATTTTTCCAGTATTTAAAACTTTAGACGATTAATTTAAGAATTTGAGAACTAAATCTGTAGGTATAGTGAAATAAAAGAGTATTATTTAAAATTAATTATATTAATATAATTAAAACACATTGTTAATAAAATTATGGCAACAAAGAGTTTTATTTTTTTTTTCAATTTTTAGGTTATGTTTGCGACTAAATTTCAGAATATGATTATAACAAATTTTTTTTTGTAATCGTTATCAAAAAAGTAACAATGAAAATTAATTTTCGATATTAAAACAATAATTTTTTATTGGTCATTCTATTAAAATTCATCAAAAGTCGTTGCTGACATATTTTTACAAAAATTTATAATTCACGATAATTCGTAAAATAATGATTTTTAATATCCATATTTATTTATTTATTTATTTATTTACATGTAAACGGGCTTACAAAGAAAGAATGAATTAGCCCTTTCGTACCGAAGTACTAAGATTAATGAAAAATAAAACATAAATGTTTCTTAAAAACCGAATAACAAAAATAACTATAACTAGGTAGCGTTGTTATTACTATCAAAAAGAAATAGTTTGCGCAAAGACATTGTGAAACTACTTAACGAAGAGTTAAAAAAATCCAAATTGGTACAATGTAAGTTTGTACCAAATTGGTACATATAATTTATTTTTAACAATTTTATAACATTTTTTAAATATTTACATTGAATTTTTGAATCGGTATGAAAACTTAACCAAATTTTTCTAACAAAAAAAAATTTAGATTGAACGAAACATAAATATTGTTATTTTTACATTCGGTGTTTTTACTTTTTTTTTTTTTATTTGCATGAATTAACAAGCCCACGGTAAAAACCATTAAAGGGTATACTACAGATAGAAAATTATAATGAAAAACAAAAAGAAATGAAAACGTGTTCTTAACGAACTAAAAAATTATAATTTCCAAAAGAACTAAAAAGAAAATTGTAGATCTAAGAAATAAATAGATCTACACTAAGTATATATCGGTATCATAGATTATCATAGATATAAATATTATGTAATGTTACAGTATATATAATACTTAGATCCGTGAAATACAAAAATTAAGTAACCATAATATAAAATAATATAAAGAAAAACTAACAAGGAAAACATTGTGTTGCGTTTTAAATTTCTCGATCTATCTGGTCGATACTCTCTAAATATGAATCAGTGAAAAAGTCACTGGTCCCAAATCAGTCGCTAAATTCTAGCTATTTGAATCAGTATAGTTTTCACTGACAGTTAGTGACATTTCACTGGAGAATCAATTACTTTGACTGAAAATCAGTGAAATGTTACTGATTCAAATAGCTAGAATTTAGCGACTGATTTGAGACCAGTGACTTTTTCACTGATTCAAATTTAGAGAGTACGATGTATTTTATTAGTACGTCCTTATAGGAAGATAAGGACATATGAAAAAAATCCAAATCAACGTTACGATGTACTCACATTAAATTTATGGAATTACACATGTTATAAATTGGAGCTCGAAACCCTATAGATGAGTTGGGCATTGGTATTCCAAAGGGTTGATAGTATCTAGAAAATTCATGAGGGACTCTGAAGTTAATCATTAACAGCAATTTTGAACAGTAAATTTTATTATTAACTAATTTAAACAAAAACGTAGACTGGAATATAAAACGTCATCCGGATACTGTCAGAAAATGAAACTTTTTTCATAAATCAAAATAGTCAGAGCCTAGCAGTGCGGGTAGACACCTGTTTTTCGGAAAACAAAATATTTTAGAAACCTTTTTTTACTTTTCTCAATCGCAGTAATTTCTTTATCAAATATAAAAAATAACTTTTGTTATTCTAATTATTTATATTTTTTCTTTTTTTTTTAACTTTATATTCTTTACAAAATTTTTTTTTTCATTTTGTTTTGTAAAAATAAGAATCATTAAAAATTTTAGAATTAATCGCGATTTTTTGTAAATTGTAATTTTTTTAACGATTTTTCTTTGTAGAAAATATTCTACCTTGAAAAATGAAGGTATATTGATAAAGGTCAAATTTTAATGGAAATTTCTATTTAAATAATAAGCGCGGTTTTTCGGTTTTGAAAAAATTAAAATTAAAAAATTTTTTTTGTATAAATTGTCTAATTTACATTATTTGATGGTTGCTCTTTTCGAAAAAAATATTTTACATTTGTAAAGATAAATTAAATAATCAATAGGAATATTCAATATTTCACTAGAAATTTATTTGTAATTATAATAGATATTTTTTATTTTTTTAAAAATTCGTAATTTTATTAAATTTTTGAAAATCAATTTGACAGAACTGTTTTGTCCTTATTTTTTAAATTTGACCATAATCAGAAATTATCAAAAAATAATATTTTTTGATAATTTCTGATTATTAGAAAACATATTATGTTTTCTTCAGTCAAATAGATTTTCGTCTATTTGCATTTTATGTTAAATTAATATTTTCTAATCTTTCTTATTGAATTACCTATTCTATAAAATGAATATTCTACGAAACAACGTTTCGCACAAATTATGAGATTCAATCAAATTAAATTTCTATCCAATTAATTTTCGTCTAAATAAAAATTCTTGCATCAATGATATATATTCGGTTAAATAGAAATTCTGTAAAATTGAAAATTCGAACAAATATGAATATTATACACTGTAAAAAATTTTGGGAATAATCACCAAATTTTTATGGTGAATGTTCCAAAAGTTTTGGGGAAAATACTTTTCCCCAAATTTTGGGAATAATTACAAACTTTTTCTGGTAAATGTTCCATATTTTTTTGGGAAAATGCTTTTCCCAAAAAAAATGTGATTATTACCCAAAATTTTGGTGAAAATTCCCCAAAATTTTAATGAATATATTTTTCTTAAAAAATTGGTCAATATTACTTAAAAAATTTGGTAAAAATTACCCAAATTCTGTACAATTTTTGTTTCCTGAAAAATTAAGATTCTTTTAAATTATTATTCTACAAAAATAATATTCTATATACAGAATAAAATTTTATTAATCCTTAACTGAAGATAAAATAAATAAATAATATTATGGATCCCAATTATCATGTAAAATTGAAGAATAAGTGATAGTGGTCTTTTCGTTTAAGCACATTTAAAAAATTATGTGATCATGACTTCAAATGGTAATAACATTGTTCATTAAGTATCTTATTGTGTTAAATATTTCATACTTTATATATCTGATTCTAAATTCATTATAAATCTTGCCAATACTTCTTGACTTTGATTCCTTTTTTTGTAAAAATGTTCCGCAGAGAAGTAAAAACACGCAATTTTTTGGTTTTTATTTTTCACAATTATTTTCAACTCACTTAAAATAAATTAATCCCTGTAAAAGTAATGAAATTTTAAAAAACACATCATAAGCTACCTGAGATTAAATTTTTGTGCAAAAATGTACAATACACGTTTGAATACGTCGAGCCCAGCAGACCCGTTGTGCCATTTACCTTCGAATTGTGACAGTTAAGGGTTGAATCATAGTTCTAAAAAAATTAGCTTTAGTGCTTATTCATGTATTTTGTTTGGGTCACTGATTGGGAATCTGAAATCAAATTTAAAAAATTCAAAATGGCGGATCCAATATGGCAGCTAAATTTAAGGGTCCAAAACTCTTGAAAATATGCTTACGTAATACTTGAATAACTCCCATGTCGCTAAGTATATCTATATATAAGAGTTTTTGGGTCGCTGATTACGAAACTAAAGTCAATTATAAATTTTTTTAAAATCATCGAACAATCGCAATAATCCTTTTATGAAAAGTGTTGATATGCAAATTAGGTAAAGTAAGACATTCTTATGTTATTTATTTTGAAAAGAGAAAGAAAGAAGAGTAAGATTTTTAGACGAAAGATATTCTTATGTCATTTTAAATTGTCTATATAGATAGAGAAATGCAATGATAAACGAAGAAGTTCTTATGTTATATTCCTTGGTGTGAGAAAGAAAGATATGCAGTTTTAGACTTTCACTATAGTGTAACCATAATATAAATTAACGCATTCAATATTGTGTTTTATTTGTGTCTTATACAGTGATTTGCATTTATTTACAATTGAATGTATACAAATATAAAATTATATAATATACACAGGATGTCTAGAAAATCCCTCCCCTCTTGAAATTTTTGTAATTATAATGCTTATTTATTTTTTTTAATAACATTCAAAATTAATAATAATTGTAATGATTTAAAATTAATTTAAAGCGATTTAAATTTTTC